AAAGGGAGAAAAGAGGAACACAGGTAAAAGCTTTAAACAAGATGGAGTTCTGGAAACAGTTTATAGACAGTCAGCATTAAATTGAGATGAAAGAAACAGCTTGAATTTCAATAAACTAGTCAAAAAATTTGATATACAGTTATTTGAAAGCAACAATAAAATTAAATTTAAAAATGTAAATTCAAAAGACAAATAAGTAAAATAAATGCATGGGTAGAAAATGTTTCTGACTCCAGGAACTATGTGGGATTTAAATTTCAGAGAGCCTTAGTACTTTGAGACAGGGAAAATGTTTCTTTACTATGATTTGATAACGAACAAGCGGGTCCCATTTCCGACTTTTGCATCCTGTGTGTATCCCACAGCTTTCCCATTCTTTTTGTGTGACTCTACATAACTAATAAGTGATGTTAGACCAAGCACAACTGCAGATACAACAGACCATTGATGTCATAATTATGTTTCATTTCTGTGAATATCAGCCAAAAAAAAGCATACCTAGTATAAGACAAACCTATGGGCTTACTTCATTCCTACAAAGTTACGGAAAAAATAATAAAATAAAACTTTAATATGTTAAGTTAACTCTTGAAATTTGATAAACTCTATTTTCTGGGTGTTGGCATTGGTTTTGTTATTGTTGTTGTTTTTTTCATTTTAACTCAAGGTCACAAAGTGCAGCCTAGGTGGGCCTCAAATTCACTATATAGCTACAGATGACTGAATTCTCGATCATCTGTCTCAGTCTCCAAACTTCTGTTTTTACAGGCATGTGCCACTGTGCACAGCTCAAAGGAAATAACACAATAGATTACAGCACTCATTAGTTAATATCTTAAATAAAAATGTAAACTTTTGGTATCAATCACACTGTATTTTGAGTGACAGAAGACATATGAGAAGTTTTAAAATGCACTTAAAAAGAAAGAGATGTATATTGTGTGAAAATCACATCAGGGATATGTGCTTTCACTTTTTTTAAAGCAGCAATTATTAGATTATAGTTACAGATAAACTCAGGGACAAATACCATCCAAGGCATCACCATGTCACAGGAAGAAGTTGTTTACTCAGCACCATTGACTTTTTATCGGTAGCCTGCTGAGAGCAAGAATTGGACTGCAAATCCAGGACGCCATGTCAGAATCCTGACTGATGCAGAGAGAGCAAATATGAAAGGCCCAGATGCTGAGGGAACAGTAGCAAGAGGTCGCACAGTTCAGAGCATTGGCCCCAATGGTCCAATTTGGACTTGACAGATGAAGTACCACAAAGCTCTTCCAGTCCGGTGCTTCTCGAACTTGAGCTGCTTCAGAATCGCCAGCAGAGTGTGTTTGAATACAGATGTATGGCTCCCTCCTTCAAAGTTCCCATTTAAGTCAGACTTGGAATTCAAGATTTTCCATTTCCTTAAAACAACCTTGTGCAGCATAGGAGCAGCATTATCATCTTTTTACTGTCAAGAAAATAAAGCTCAGAGCGACTGCCATGCTGAAAGTGTCCAAAAGATTACTTTTGTTAAAGTGATGACTCCAAGACATTCTTTGCTGAATCACATGGGAACATGTAGTTCAGAAACTATTTCTTCCCTGCTTTGATGCAATAATATTCAGGAATGACTTCGCTGGGCAATACGCTTAGTAAATAGCCATTTCTTGTATGGAATCCCATGTCTCATTCCAGCAATTCATTTAAAATTATTGGAGGTATACTTCCACAGTCTTGACTTACAAAACACCCACTTGAAGTGATGTAAAAATTGCACTTGACATCCAAGCAATGAGTGTGGTTTGTTTTGTATGGAATGTGGGAGCAGGTTGTACCTTTGGAGGTCACAGGACAATTTGTGGTGGTCACCTCTACCAAGGGGCTTCTGGGAATTGGAATCAGATGACAGAATTTGGTGGTAAGCTCCTTTACTTCTATATGCTGTCTTACTGGACCTGACTCAGAATTTTTGAGATGATGAAAAGGTTCTAAGTTAAATATCCACCAGATTACATAAATGTCTCTATTATCATTTTAATTTATTCACATTTTCTGGAAAATATTGAATTGAGTTAAAAGTTATTAGGGAATATGTAGACCAAACAAGAATAGTAGAACAGCAGCCATTGATAAATCTAGACAGGTGACATAATAAATAAGACATACATAATAAATAAGACCACCAGCAAATAACTTCTAGGATTTTTGTTTGTTCTACTTTGCTTCATTGGAGTTTAATCATCCTTAAATTACAACAGAATTCCTAATCATTGATCAATGGTTTTAAATTAGTTCTTCTAATAGTCATTTACCTTGACAGTGTTAAAGAATATCAAATTAGATACTATTTTTTGTTTGTTTGTTTTTGTTTTTGTTGGATTTTTTGCTGTATAAGCTATTATTTGTATATTTATATGTTTACAAATCTACCACCTGAAGTCTACCAGAAAGAACAAAATATTTGTAGAGGATTATACTAAAAATGAACAGACAAAACAAAAAAAACAGTGAAACCTGAAACTGCAAGACAAAGATACTGAGCAAAATTAGAGAGAAAGGAAATACATGTGTTAGAGCCACAGATATAGACCACTACATTTACTATCTTTCTCTTTCCTTTCTGCTATATTGTGCTTTGAATGCAGAAAATTACAGATCTGCTTAACTGGTGCATGCAGGAACATAATTCCTGCCAGGCTGTGGCCTGACTAGCCAGGGCACAGCCAGAGAAGCAGGCTGGTAACTGCAAAGTTGCAATTGCTGGCTGAAGTAGCAGTAGATTAAGGCACAGCCACTGGGCCAAAGTTAAAACAACAGAATGGTGGCTCATATCTGCAATTCAGAGTTTTAAGAGGCAGAGGCAGAATGACTACCACAGTATGAGGCTAGCCTAGGCAACCTAGAAAGTTCAAGGACAATCTCAATCTACAGTGTGAGGCCCTATCTCAAAACCAACATATATCCTAATGGAATACTAGAAATCTCAAATCACTTGGCAAATGACTCTGTCATAATTACTGCAGATGACAATCATTGAAAATTTCTCAAATTTGGGGGACAGTGGTTTAAAAAGAGGGTATTTAAAGTCCATTAGCACTGCCATCCAGGGTAGTGACAAAGGGAACTGACAGTGGAGAAAGCTGTCAGACACCTGCAAACCTGAAGGACAAATAGCATCATAGGAAGTGAGACCCGTCCGCAACAAGTTCCTTTGGATGGGTACTCCAAAGGATGGCATGTTCTCTTCAGTGTTTCTACAAAAGCCATAGGCGTGATCTAGACATTATAAAGTACTTGACAAGCTGACTGGAGGAAAGGTACAAAACAACAGGTCAAGTGTCAATGCTATATATATATATATATACATATACATATATATGTATATGTATATATACATATATATGTATATGTATATATATATATACACACTTAGATAATATTACAGAACAGTGTGACTGAAGGAAGGCTGGAATTCAGGATTGAAGACAACACCATATAAAAACAAACAACAACAAAACTAATGAAGGAATTGGAGATATTTTATATAATCTGCAATTGGTGAGTGAAATTATATGAATGTTATTTTAATTGCTTTGATAATTGTATTATGGTCACATAGAAATAAGATTAGACAATGCTGCATGAAAAGAATGCAGATTCTGTACATACTTTGGCAATACTTTTGGCTTAAGTTATTTTTAGTATTAAATAGAAAAAGCATTCTGAGAAAACTTAATACTTTGCCCAGAATTTTGCTAGATGGACCCAAACTCTGCATTTGCAAAACAACCCAAGACAAAAAAGTATTAAGGATAAATGTTACCAACTAGACACCTTATCAAAGTAAGCATTGAGCAGGGAAGTCATTAATTATCTGCTTTTGCTAACCTCACAGTCCACTAATTTTCTACAGTCACTAAATGCTGCTTTTCGAAGCAGAGAAATTATAACACAGGACCATGAGGGCAATTACAGATAGAAGAACTGGACTGTGATCTGCGATACCTACAGAGTATAGACAGACAGCTACTATTCTAATTTCAAACTTCCATGATAGGATAAGAAACTACACAAAGTACAGCTCATTGAAATTACAGAAATTTGATTATAGTAGAAGGCAAAGTTCTAATCAGTTGACTGAATAATTTATTAAAATAGAGTCCTGGAGAAAGTTAATAAATAATTAGTAAAGTTAATATGTATAAAGGAAAAGATAACTAGATTTGAATAAAATTATTGTGATGTGTTTTGTAATATTTTGAAGAAAGAAAAGAGAATGTGTGAATAATCACATACTTTGTGTGGCTTAGTTACTAATTGAATCAATGTGGGATTGGCCTTGCTCTGAGAAGGGGTTAAAGATCAGTCCCATCAGCCTAAGTGTATGAACAGACTATACGTCAATGATATGCTGGGCAGAAATGTAAGAACACTGTGGACATCTATCATAGCAACAGTTGTCCTACCTGTATCTCATGTTCCCCACTGTGTTGAACACACAGCTTCCAAAACACAAAAGGATGCTTAAGATAAAGATAGTATCTGTCAGCTCACAAAAATGAGCCAATCCAAGGAAATTTCATCATAAATAATTCCCAGCATCTTTCCCCTACTGCTGTTCAACTAGACTCTGGATAGCCTTAACTCTAGACTCACAGTTATCGTATCAGACCCAGTGCAGCGGTGACAACCAAGAGCCCCAGGTGTTTGTTGGTGTATCCAAACTACATGGAGTGTCTCCCAATCCCAGATTGAATTTATCTTGTAAACTAATCCGTAATAACATATGTTTGTTGTCCTTCATCAGCATACATTATTGAAACGGCAACCTATTATAGATTGCTAGAAATACTTTATTCTAACAGATTTGTAGTACATATTTTTGAATAAATAAAGTATTCACTTAAAAAAACTGGAGCATTTAGAATTATTTCTTTTATTATCTATTGACTAAATTAGGTCGCATACACTTACAAATCATGTCTATATGAGGATTACAAGAAGGAGCTTACCAAGACTGGGGTACCCAGGTGTGGAAGGGTCTCCTCCTGGATTCAGTGTCACCATAAATGTCTCAGAGCTAAGATCTCCAGACTTTGGTATATCACAAGGATCAGTGTAGAGAAGAGCACCTCCAAAGCCAGCCTTTTCCAATAAGGAAATCTAAGTGGAGAAAACACAGTTGAAAGCATTTTACACATTAGATGTTTACATGTCACTGCTTCCACATCGTGGGTAAAATAAATACTTCACAACTCTTTCAATATTTTATAAAGTCACTTTCATTTTCTGTTTTCCAAAATTTGACCTGTGAACTGTTATTCTATTTTGCTTTTTGTCATTCTGATAAATATTATTACTAAAAGCAACTTGAGGAGGAGAGTTCATTGTCTTTGTGGTAGTTTAAATGTAATTGACCCCCATAAACTCATAGGGAGTGGTGCTATTTAGGAGATGTGGCTTTTTTGGAATAGGTGTGGTCTTGTTCGAGGAAGTGTGTCACTGTTGAGGTGGGCTTTGAGGTTTCATATATGCTCAAACCACACCCAGTGTGAAACCTCTGAAACTATAGACAAGCCCCAATCAAATGTTTTATATGTTCTTTTATAAGAGTTGCCATGGTCGTAGTGTCTTTTCACAACAATAGAAACTCTAATTAAGATATTCTTACAGTTCCACATCACCAAGTGATTTCAGTGCCAGAACTCAAGACAGTAACCTAAAGGGAGGAACTGAAGAAATGCTGTGGAGGAACACTCTTTGCTCACTTTCTTCCACTAGTTTGCTGAGTTGCCTTTCTTATAAAGCCCAGACCCATTTTCCCAAGGATGGTAATGCCTCTGCCGTGGGCTGGGCCCTCCTTTATTGATTAGCAATTAAGAAAATATCTCAGAGATATGTCCATAGGCCAATCTTATGGAGGCAATTCTTCAGTTGAGATTTAAGTAAGTCGAGGTTTATATCAAGTCAACAAAACCTTATCTACTAATTACCATTAGTATATAAAACAGTGTGGATGGTAGATGGGTGGATTTCTTGTTTCATTTTTATTTTAAATATGGCATATTGTACTTATTCTTTGGAAATAACATACATACAATGCATTTGAATAATATCCCCCAATCCTTGCAACTCATTCTTGATTCCCTGCCAAGTCCCCTTCCAACTTCACGTCCTTGTTTTTTGTTTGTTTTGTTTTGATTTAATTATATGTCACTTACTGAGTCCAGTTAGTGCTGCGCATGTATACATGATTTTAGTTTCATGTCAGCAACTGCAGCACTGGGCAACCCCAGCTGCCCTGGGTTTACAAGGCAATGGTTCTGATGTGTTTAGAAGACACTCTTCCATTCCCCCCTGACCTTTGGCTTTTATAATCTTTCTATGCTGTTTTCTGAACTTTAGGGAAAGAGAGTGTGATATAAATGTCCCTTGCTGTGTTAATATATGATTTCTTTCTCTGCTACAGACTTTATCATTCTCTCTCTTCTTTAATTGTCCAAGGGTTGTCTACTTATATGAGACTAGCAGAGGATCCCCCATAAACAGAGTTCTGCTTTTAGATGAATGCTGTTCTGCCTAGTCTTTTGTCCTTCTCCAGAGCAGAAAGCAGCCCAGTATGATGATACACTTTCTCCAGAGGCAAGCCTGTCCCATCAACTTAGAATGGGTAAGCTCTTCTCATGCTATTTGGAAAATAGACACTGCAATGAACCTTCCAAGATCCTCCTTGATATTACTCATGTTACATGCTCAGCCCCACCTGGGAGGGCGAGCACTTAAAGCATTCTGAACAACCTCATGAGAGGCCTGAATTTGAAGAATCCTTTTCTGTCTGATCCTGCCAGGGAATATTTGAAAGCAGCCCCAGGTTACCTCCTTCAAGATGTTTGATGGAAAGTTTTATGCTGTTATTTAAAAGTACACAATTTATAATTACAATGGGAAGATGATCTTGACATTTTTCCATGTTCTAGATTTTTTTGTTTGCTTAACTGATTTATGTTCATTATGCCCCTTAGAATGATTTAATATGATATAAATAACCATAATCATGATTTGCTGCTTCTATGTGTCTTCCATCAGAAATAAAAGTAATTAGAGGGCATTAAAGCAATAAAACAGAGTAAGATTAACACCTATATTGAGTGTAGATTGTTACTACTCATCCAGAGATGTGACTTAGCACTTATACTTTATTTTCTGATTATTGCTCATGTTATTACTGAACTGTGCACTGGACTAAGGACAGTCACTGTGATCCTGACTACAGCCTGCTGTGAAGGTGAGGATCAAGCTTCTTCTCCATACCACAGTTCAGGATGCATATCATGGATAGGCAATCAAGAGTATTGGAACATAACATTTTCTGCAAGAAGAAAATTTCATGGGTGTGGCATAACATCTATTCCTAAACAAAACAAAGCCCAGCAAAAATACTTGGGATATTCTTTCTTAGTATGTACTGGTATTGGAAAAGATAAAGCATGGAATCACACACACACACACACACACACACACACACACACACACACACACACGCACACACACACACATGCACACACACACACACACCACACACACACACACATGCACACACACACACACCACACACACACACACACACACACATACACACACACACCACACACCACATACATACACCACACCACACACACATCACACACAAATACTACACACACCACACACATACACCACACCACACACACATCACACACAAACACTACACACACCACATACATACACACACACACACAACACACATCGCATACATACACACACACACACACACACACATACACACACCACACATGCGCATATATCCTCGTTTATTTTCTTGCTGCTGTGATCCAGAGGATGACCACTTAAGGATTTATTTCACTTACAGGTTACAGTCCATCATCCAGGGAAGCCACAGCAGCAACTAAAGGCCAGAAACTGGATCCATAAACATGGAGAAACTCTGCTTACTGATTTGCTTTTAGACTTACATGCAGCTACACCCTATGGCCATTGGTCCAAAAGTGGCATCTCTAACCTTGTCTGTGCACTCCCACATCAATCCATAATCAGGAAGATGCTGACAGACATGACATGCCCAAAGACTAATCTGAAGAAAGAAGTTAATCAGCTAAAGGTCTCTCCCTTCCAGGGGTGTCAAGTTAACAACCAACATCAGCCATCCCACAAAGAGAATATTTTGTGAAAATACTGACATAAAATATAAGTATGGCATTTTAATGTCATTTTGTAGAAATGTTTTATACTTTATAATTTTGGACATAATGAACAGTGATGTGTACTTTTTAATGAGAATATAGTTGACACTGAGAACCCAGAAGGAAACCAATTGCCTTCTACAGCAATCCACTCAGGTAAGACAGAAGCCTCTGTTTCACCTTCTTAGCTTCCGGGAGAGAAGGAAGAAGCTTAAGGGAGATGGGGAAAGATTACAGGGGAAAAGAACAAAGAATGTCTGAATAAGCGTCCAGAGTTAAGGTTGGCATCTCAAGTTCACCCCTGAAATCCTCTGGGAGAGCTCTGAAAGCCTTCATAGCTCAGCTAACTATTCTTAAAAAGGATGGTGAAGGGCTGGCTGCTTTTGAGCATTCTTGTTTCTTTTAAATTTTTTTTTAACTATTAAGACATTTTCTATTCATTTTACATACTATCCACAGATTCCCCTCTCCTCTCCCCTCCCACCCCCCTGAGGTCTTCCTCCCCAACCCACCCCCCATTCTCACCTCCTCCAAGGCATTCTTGTTTTTTAGAATATATTGAAAACTATGAACCTCTCTTCTAAAAACAATTACTTTATGTTAAAGTGATTTCAGAGGTAGTTAAAACTACCACTTTAGATTAGCGTGTTCAGATTTTTGGCGCTGCAGCAAGATGTGATCCTTTACAAAATATCTACTTGTGAACTGCACAATATAGTTATGAAAACTGTAACAGGATTTTATAATATTTTAAGTAAGGCTATCATTTTGTATTGGCCTGCATTAATAACTATCTCAGGTCACATGTAGATGACAGACTAATATTATTAAACAGTTTTTTCATCATTTCTTAATATATAATAAATATTTATATATGTTGATAAGTTCTATGTAATTTCCATACCTATTGTATATATTATATGAATAATACTATGTCAAGAGGATATAAACTGTTATTTAACCAATTTATTACAAATAATATTTCATTTTATATTGAAATAAATACCCATGTGGATAAAATTCTGTACAAATATATTTTGTGAATGCATTTTCATAGCTTTAGAATAAAACATTCTTGTTTTTATGAGTGTGATGGGTACTCTTGGTTGTCAACCTGATTACATCTGAAATTAGCTAAAACCCAAATGTCTGGGCACATCTGTGAGGGATTTTTTTTCTTAATTAAATCATTTGAGATCGACTTCTTTCTTTTTTTTAATTCCAATATTAATTTATTCCTTCATTTGCATAAGTTCCTTCTACCCTGCTCCTGAGTTTCCCCAGGTAGAAAAGAAGCAACTAAGAAAACTGATAGTCTTCCAACTTTGGCATTTTTTCTTTGAACAAGATTTTATATGGAAGTTTGGCTGATGAATACTGGGTTGACAGATTTTGGCTCTACTGCTCTCTGTCATGAACCCTCAACAACTCAGACACAAAGGAACAGACAGGGGAACCGTTGGCACCAAGTTCAAGCCTTCTGCAGGACGTTAGCACATGCGTTTCTTTCCATCTACAACACAACACTCTTCTTTAACTCCTCTCTCTCTCTCTCTCTCTCTCTCTCTCTCTCTCTCTCTCTCTCTCTCTCTCGCTTTAGCTGATCTCTCTGTCTAGCTGCCATCCTGTGCTCACCTTAGCTCTGTGGTTTCCGTCACTGTTTATCTCATGGACTTGTTTACAGCTGTACTGAGTGTGTTAGTCTGTATCTCCACCAGATGATGACCACCTCACTATCATTATATCTTACCACTAGACTAAAAGAGCCAGGAGACCACATCCTGTGCAAATTAACAAAGGATCTCTTTCTCAAGACAACATTTTCATATCAACCACACAAATATGTGGTAACTAAAAACAAGGGATACTCTATTAAGTGATGCAATGTGGCATTGGTATTCTGTGGTGTCCATCACAGTGCCT